CAAATGACGTAAATCTGATACTCTGATTCGTCGCTCATGTTCGAACGTCATTGGCGTTCAAACGTTAGTTACTATTAGTACTTTTGTTTTTTCATCAGAGACACAGTATTGGAACGAAATGTCGTTCAAATTTACTTTCACATTCGAACGGTTGGCGTTCAAACGGACTTTCATGTTCGAACGTACTTTCATGTTCAAACGAATTTCTTGTTTCTGCGGAAAGTTCTAGTGAAGTTTTGGCCTATTTAGTGCTTGATTTGGAAAGTTTTGTGAAATATATTTTTGTAGCCCTAGAAGTCTACTATCCACTATAAAAATTTTAGCTCAAACGGACATCAAGGTAAAACTTTATGATCCAAATACTAATCAGTGTCCAAAATCCTTTCTATCCAAATTTTATCTGAAATGTGTTTGAACTCCGGTCTATTTCCTAACTTCCAATTCATACCCTATTACCTCAACTAACATTTTTATTTCTACTCTTACCATCTACGTAGTTCGTGCATACATCGTCACATATATTAGCATTTCAAAACATAATTATGTTGCTATATAAAGAGAAAAATGTGGGGGTTTATATTTTCTCTAACATTATTTTCATGAGATTATGCCAAGGTCATTTCATGTGAATGAAGTTCTTCATTTAAAAATATGAGTTAAATTCTTCTTTTGATTTTGTATTTTCTCTCATCCTATATAATTTATAAGTGAAGTAGTTACTCGAATCAAGTGTTTTCTATTCTAAGAATGCAACCTCAGTGAGATTGCATCAAAACTAATGTTGGATAACTAATAGAGATGTGGATTTGCATCAAAACTAACATTGAATTTAATGATCATCTCTCACACACACGATGCTAATATGAATGTTTATACTCTTACATGACATTTAATTCTACATTTTAGCATTTATGTGAATAATTTGAGTGGATGATGAATTTTTCTTAAATTTCATTATTAATTAGGAAATAATAATATGTTCCAAATTTGCTCATAAATAAAATAAATTTTAGAGGTATCTTCGCTGGAAACCTTCATGAGACAAAACTAGGCTACTAGGAATTTAACGGCTTATTGCATAGGGTAAATTCAATCATAATCACCTACGAAAGTGGTTTTGTGATTTTATTTTGTATTTTGCGTTTGTAAGAGACTAGTAAAGTCTAAGTTGGGGGTGTATTGAGTATACAATTTTGCATAATCTTATGTCTTAAACCAACCATCTTAGCTTTGCTTATTAATTATATATTTCATTTTAGTCAAGTTATGTTTTATTAGTAAATTGTGTGTTTTCTTATTAATTTTATTAGAAAAAATTTAACAGCTTATTGCATAGGGTAAATTCAATTTAGAATTGGTAGTAGTTGTACTGGTTCAACATGAAACAAATAGGCTGGTACCAATTCATTCAAAACAAAAAGTTGTCTACCGGGTCATTACTATTTTTGCTACCAGTAGATCTTGGACAGAAGGTGTTTGTACATGTTTATCCCTTGCTGTTGTACTGATTCATCAGAGTTAAAGTTCAACAAGGAGTCCTATTTGAAGACTTTGGCTGGCCAAATCTTACAGATATTTTTTGAGATTTTTTAGAAATCAGAGAGAGTGATGTAAAGAAGGAATGAGAGTATCTCTCTCTCACTCTCTCTCAATTGTTCCTTTTTAAGCCGGAATAAGGGAGGATCCTAGCATTCTCTTCTTCATCTTTTTTTAACATTTTCTTCTATGGGGAGCTCTTCTTATAACATTTTTTCAAGGTCTCTTCTTCATCATTATTCTTCTAGGGTTTAATTTTCATTTTTTTCAACAAAGCATAAAGTAGGTTTATTTACTTGTCTTCTTGTGTAGTTTAATTACAGAGTACGTTCAATTTCTTATTTACATTAATCTTTTGTTCTTGTTTAGATAGGAAGAATTGAATTTAATATTGCTTTCAACATTAATTTTTTTTCTTTTCAATTGCTATGTTTTCATATTTGTTTTTAATTTCATATGCGCTATGTGTGAGTAATTTATTTCCGACATAATCGGATGAGGGATTCTTATCCGTGAATGGGTGATTTTGACCTTGATAGGATTTTAATGTTTAGTATTATTTTGTTGATTGAAACAATTAAATTTGAACACATAGGTGATTTGTAAACAACTTTGATTATCGGTAGACAATTGAATTTAACATGCGTAATTCATAGAGTCCCTACAATCAACATGGTACCAATTCTTTCATAAATTAGTTTTCTTATCAAAGTAATATTTTCTAAATTCTGAATTTTATTGAATATTCTCCGTCTAAGTGAGTTTGATTATAGTCTTGTACGAGTTATAAATTGGGTCAAAATTCTTATTCATGGTGGGATGAAATTAGAAGATTATCTGGTTTATTTTAATATTATTTTTTAGTTTTCACTAATTTTCATCATCTTTGAAAATCAAAAGATTTTATTTTTGGTAATTTAAATCATATCTCCATTCGAATTTGTCCTTGTTTCCTTGTGGTGACGACCTCAGTATTTTTCAAGTTATTACATGATTAATTTTCCTACGCTTGGGAAGCAATTTCAAATTTACCACTTTTAAGGGCTATCAATCACTATCACTTAATTAGCTAATACTATGTAGGTTATGTTTCAAGTCATCAACAAGAAGCACATTTTCAATCTGGTAAAGCTTTCTTACCTACATTATCAATTCCAACAATTTTTACTTTGGCATTGCCCCCAAAGGTCACATATCTACCATCTTCCTTTGATAGTTGTACAAATTTTGGAATATCACCCGTTATGTATCTTGAGTATCCACTATCAAGGAATCACTAGTTGGCTTTGTGGGTGGACTTGAAACATACCTGCACATGTAATTCAAGGATTTGTCTTTGGTACTCATTTAGTTTTGGTTCCTTGATAGTTAGTGTATGATTTATTCATGAATCTATTTTGTTAGAATCTTCTAGCAAAACAATTTTAAGCTAAGTGTCCTATTTTATAACAGTAATATCATATTTTAGTTGAGATACTTGACTTTGATTCCTTAACAAATAATTTTTTGTAAGCTTTTTGATTTTAGTCATTGTTGAATCTTAGTTTTGCCTTGTCAAAAATACATCTTTGATTTGATAATAGTTTCTCCAATTTTTCACTTCCTTGAGTGAATTTTGAAACAATTTTGCTTAGATCACAATTCTTTGTTTTCAACTCACTGTTTTCAATTTTAAAATTTTTAATTAAGGAAGGGTTAAGAGTCTCCTTTTTCAAAGATATATTTTGAATCTTGAGTTTCTCATTTTCAAGTTTCAAAATGCAATTTTTATTTGACAAAACAGTGAGCTTCTTTTTGAGATCCTTATGTCTCTTGGTAATATCAAGCAAATCCTTATGCAAGTCATGCATGATATTATACATATCATTATAAGATAATTCGTTTGGCTCATTTGATTGAGATTTCACCTCTTCATTTCCCCCTAAGCCCATGCAGCTTAGATTTGTTATATCATTATTTTCTTCATGATCGGAGTCACTATCATCACTATCACTCAAAGTTTCCTTCATTGCAACCTTCTTGTCCTTTTTGTAAGATTTCTTAATGAGGGACAATTTTTCTTGATGTGTCTGGGCTTGTTCCACTCATAGAAAATGATTTCATTTTTCTTTGAATTTTCACCTCTTTGAAATGGACCTTGATTCTTGAAGAACCTTTTGAATTTTCTTGTGATGAATACAAGTTCTTCATCACTATCGTCCTTTACCTCATCATTCTCTTCATTTGAAGTTTTGGTTGACTTGAATGCTATTTTTTCATTTCCTTTTTCTCTAGCTCTTCATCTCTTTAATGCTTATTTCATAAGTCATAAAGAAGCCAAGAAGTTCTTCAAGAGGAAGTGCTTTTAGATCCTTTACTTTAATAATGACAATCACTTTAGCATCTTATGATCATGGACGACACCTAAGATTTTTTCTCACAAGTTCCTCATCGGCATAGGATCTACCGAGATATTTAAGAGCGTTAATAATGTTAGTAAAATATGTGAACATTTGTGATATGCTCTCATGGGGTTCCATCTTAAATAGCTCATGGTCATGTGCAAACATATTTATTTTGGATTCCTTAACTTTACTAGTTCCCTCATGTGCGACTTCAAGCATATTATGTCATATTTCTCTAAGGGTTTCACATGTGAATATGCAATTAAATTCACTCATGTCCAATGCACAATATAATGTATTCATTGCCTCGTTATTGCTAGTGTGTGCCTTCTTTTCATTGCTAGTCCACTCTTTCTTATCTTTTGTAGGTTTTGTGTATCTATCTTCAATGTTGAATTAGGTTTTCTCAATTAATAGCAACTTAAAGATCAATTTCACTATGTGTGAAACTGCTTTAATTAAATGTATATGTGTGAATATAGGATGTGCAATGAATATGAATACAGACAATTAATATGAGAGTAAGAAAGAGAGAAGCAAACACAAGATTTATAGAGGTTTGGCCCCTAGCACTTTGGCCTACGTCCTATCTCCTTCTTTCCCTTGGAATTCCCCTTCACTTAGCTTGAATCTCTTCAATGGGTGAGCACCAAAACCCTTTACAATAGCCTTCTTCTTGATACCAGTAGAATTTCTCTCTGCAACACACTCAAGAATATTGCACAGCTCACTCTATCTTTTTCAAGATTTATTTACAATACAAAGATCACTCAAGGGAATTGATTTATCACAATATGGCTTTCAAACTCATTGTAAAATGAATTCCTCAAAGCATAACTCTTGAAAATGCTTGAAAAAAATCAACTCTTAAATTCCTTGCTCTTCTATTTATATTTGTAGTCCAAAACAAGAGCCAACAAATATAATTTTTTAAATCCCAACAGCATCTGGAGGACCATCCAGCAGGCTATATAGGCTACCAGATATGACCGTTACAAGCCGTTAGGTTATATCTGACATTCTAGATGACTTATTCTCTTTATTTTTCATGTGTTGTTCAACCTCAATCATTCCCATGCATCACATAGCAAATTCCAGAAGGTTTTGAATGTTGTCCGGATCAGCATCTGGCATGCTTCCAATAGTCTTCCCGATGCATGTTGTGCTTACCTGTCTACCACACTTATTCGGCAAGCCATTTGTGTCATCCAACATGCCTCCTAGTCTTCCAGATGACACATCTGAACTTCCGGATGCCTGACGATCTCCAAGCCACACGCCTAGGCTTCCTACCTCTAGCATGCCCATCTGACATGCTCTTGCCACTTGCAACTGGCATTCCAGATTTAGCATCCGGTCTTTTAGATGAGGTTCTTGATGATATTTTCACCTTTTCCCTTTTCACACCATTTTCATTTCTTTTCTGTTTAATCATTCTTTTTACATCTAACCTTGTCTACGCACTTAGTACAAGTAATAGTCCACCTTGTAAAGTTTGTTATCTTCAAAATCACAAAATTTTCAAGTCTCGGGTCAACAAATAATACTTTAATAGTATTTCTACACCTTAAAATTTGTTTTTACATAGACACACAAGAGAGAGAGAGAGAGAGAGAGAGAGGTGTTGGGTATTGGAAGCAAAATAGATTACAAAAGGAACACAAAATCAAGTAAAACAGAGGACAAAAATCTGCTATACATCCACACCAATTTTACTCAAAAAACACCTCTATATTTCATCAAAATGATCACAATATCAAGGAATACAAAGGGGATAACTTATCTGAATTTTTTAGCAAAAAACACCCAAGAAATACAAAAGGAATATAGCTTCTGCTCATGAACAGCCTGCTGCGATTTTTTTGGCAGCAAAACAGATTTTTTTTTACTCTCTTTCTCTCTGTATTTTCTGCAGATACACTCCCACTGTTTTGGACAGCAACTCCTTTCCTTTTATACTAATTTTTCCTAGCCAAAACACCTTGAATCTGGCCACTTCATGGCTGACTGCCTCCAAGCAAAAACTGTTTGAATTCCCATGTAGTCATGCATGAACAAGCCTCCCAAGAACATGCACAGACCTCCAAAAATATGGACTCTTCTAGTGACTACTTCTTCAAATACACAAAAGCCCCAAAACATGCTTAAATACCGTCTAACACCACAACTTTTCAATATTACATCATAAACCCAAAAATACACAACCTACCTTTTAAAAATTGAGTTTATATAAACTAACATCCCCCCTTAAACTCAATTCCTTGGGTTCTCATGCCTAGCGTCATTTTCAATCTTCCAAACACATCATGCTTTAATGGCTTTGTAAAAATGTCGGCAATTTGATCTTGAGTCTTGCAATACACCAACTTCACTTCTCCATTCTTCACATGCTCTCCAATAAAATGGTAGCGCGTATTAATGTGTTTACTCCTCTCATGGAATACCGGGTTCTTTGCCAACGCCATCGCCGATCTATTATCAACAAGGGTTTCCTTGGGAATTTCTTGAGAAAATCTCAAATAATTCAACAAATTCCTCAACCAAATAGCATGACACACTGTTGAATTTGCAGCCACATACTCCGCTTCACACTTATACAAAGTAACAATTGCTTGCTTCTTGGATGATCAAGTAAAAGCCGTATCTCTCATGAAAAAACAATAACCCGAGGTACTTTTCCTTTCATCCAAGTCTCATCCCCAATCACTATCCGAATATCCAACAAGTCTAAAATCAATAGTGCAAGAATAAAATAAGCCATCATTGAGTGTACCTCTAATATAACATAAAATCCTCTTCGTCACATTAAGATGAGTTTGATCCGGTGTTTCCATGTATCAGCTAACCAAACCAACTCCATAAAGAATGTTCGGCCTCATGCAAGTAAGGTACCAAAGACTTCCAACTAAACTTTTGAAGTAACTTGGATTAACATTTCCACCACTAATGCTCTTTCTCAATTCCAATCCAATTTCTACGGGTGTGTTCACCGGGTTGCAAGAATCCATCATGAACTTCCTTTGCATAACTACTTTGAGAAATAAAAATTCTATCTTCACTTTGCTTAACCTCAATGCCAAGGAAATGAGACATTAAGCCAATATCAGTCATTTCAAACTCTTTAATCATACTTCTCTTGAATCCATCAAACATCATTGGATTATTGTCGGTGAAGATCAAGTCATCAACATAAAGGCAAACAAGTAGCACACTTCCATTGCCATCCATCTTCATATAAAATGCATGCTCATAAGGACATTTTTGAAAACCATTCTCACAAAAGTATTTGTCAATTCTAGCATTCCATGCGCGCGGTGCTTGGTTTAATCCATAGAGAGCTTTTCTCAATTTGTATACTTTACCTTCATGTCTCTTTTTCACATACCCCAAATGTTGTTCAACATAAATCTGCTCCTCAAGAAATCTATTCAAAAATGCTGATTTCACTTCAAGTTGGTAAATCTTCCACTCGTTTTGTGCTGCCAAAGAAATCATCAACCTAATGGTTTCCAAATGTGCAACGGGAGCAAATACCTCGTCATAATCAATTCCGGCCCTTTGCTTATAACCTTTAGCAATTAACCTCACCTTGTATCTTTGGACTTCACCATTTGCATCCTTCTTGGTTTTAGATACCCATTTCACACCAATTGTTTTATGACCTTGGGGAAGATTAACTAGTGTTCATGTATCATTCTTTTCAATTGCCTTCATTTCTTCATCCATTGCTATTATCCATTTCTCTTCTTGAACCGCTTCTTCAAAACATAAAGGATCACAATCCATGAACAAACAAAACAAATTCAAGTTACCTTCAAAATTTTTCGTAGATTCATAAATCTCTTGCAAACTTCTCATTTTTCTTGGTCTTTCACTTGAACTTGAATCCGATGATGAAGATGATGATGTTGATGATGATTCACTTGTAGAAAGTGAGGAGGATCCATGTGGAGCTGTTTGTGGCTCTTTTTGGACTTCCCTTGGTTCTTTGGACTCTTCTTCTTCAGGCATAAGTTCCACTTCGGTGGCTAAAATTTTTTCTTTCCAATCTTACATGTCTTCCTCTTCAAAGATTACATCTCTAGTCATGATCACTTTCTTGGTAATGGGGTTGTATAACTTGTACCCCATTGTTCTATCACCATACCCAAGAAAAATGCACTTTTCACCTTCATCATCAAGTTTTATCCTCCTTGCTTCGGGAATCTTCGCATAAGCAATGCATCCAAAAACTCTAAGATGGGCTACACTTGGCTTGAATGAACACCAAGCTTCCTCCGGGGTCTTGAAACGAACACTTTTGGTTGGACATCGATTCAACAAGTACATTGCACATGCTATAGCTTTGGCCCAAAATTCTCTAGGCAATCTTTTTCTTTTCAACATGCTTCTAGCCATATAAAGAATAGTCCTATTTTTCCTTTCTACAACTCCATTCAATTGAAGTTTGTAGGTTGGCGTGAATTGATGCACAATTCCATGTTCCTTGCAATAGTCTTCAAATAAATCAGAATTATATTCACCACCTTGATTGGATCTCAACCTCTTAATAAAATAGCCACTTTGCTTCTCAATAAGATTCTTGAACTCCTTAAAAACATCAAACACTTCAGACTTCCTTCTTAAAAAATACACCGAAGTCTTCCAACTATAGTCATCAATAAAAGTAAGAAAGTAGCGATTCTTATCATTCGACATTGGCTTCAAAGGACCACAAATATCGGTTTGCACAAACTCCAATAGTCATGATGTTCTCCACTTGACTTCTCTTGAGAAGCTTAATCTGTGATGCTTGCCAATAATATACCCTTCACATAACTCATCCAGATGATCTATGTACGGTAGATTCTTCACCATTTTTTTACTAGATAAAAGCTTCAAGCCACCAAAATTAAGATGTTCAAGTCTCAAGTGCCACAACCAAGAGTCATCTTTAATAATAGCATTCAAACATCTCATAGCATTATGTTGAATAATGCTCTCATCCAAGGAAATGAGACATTAAGCCAATATCAGTCATTTCAAACTCTTTAATCATACTTCTCTTGAATCCATCAAACATCATTGGATTATTGTCGGTGAAGATCAAGTCATCAACATAAAGGCAAACAAGTAGCACACTTCCATTGCCATCCATCTTCATATAAAATGCATGCTCATAAGGACATTTTTGAAAACCATTCTCACAAAAGTATTTGTCAATTCTAGCATTCCATGCGCGCGGTGCTTGGTTTAATCCATAGAGAGCTTTTCTCAATTTGTATACTTTACCTTCATGTCTCTTTTTCACATACCCCAAATGTTGTTCAACATAAATCTGCTCCTCAAGAAATCTATTCAAAAATGCTGATTTCACTTCAAGTTGGTAAATCTTCCACTCGTTTTGTGCTGCCAAAGAAATCATCAACCTAATGGTTTCCAAATGTGCAACGGGAGCAAATACCTCGTCATAATCAATTCCGGCCCTTTGCTTATAACCTTTAGCAATTAACCTCACCTTGTATCTTTGGACTTCACCATTTGCATCCTTCTTGGTTTTAGATACCCATTTCACACCAATTGTTTTATGACCTTGGGGAAGATTAACTAGTGTTCATGTATCATTCTTTTCAATTGCCTTCATTTCTTCATCCATTGCTATTATCCATTTCTCTTCTTGAACCGCTTCTTCAAAACATAAAGGATCACAATCCATGAACAAACAAAACAAATTCAAGTTACCTTCAAAATTTTTCGTAGATTCATAAATCTCTTGCAAACTTCTCATTTTTCTTGGTCTTTCACTTGAACTTGAATCCGATGATGAAGATGATGATGTTGATGATGATTCACTTGTAGAAAGTGAGGAGGATCCATGTGGAGCTGTTTGTGGCTCTTTTTGGACTTCCCTTGGTTCTTTGGACTCTTCTTCTTCAGGCATAAGTTCCACTTCGGTGGCTAAAATTTTTTCTTTCCAATCTTACATGTCTTCCTCTTCAAAGATTACATCTCTAGTCATGATCACTTTCTTGGTAATGGGGTTGTATAACTTGTACCCCATTGTTCTATCACCATACCCAAGAAAAATGCACTTTTCACCTTCATCATCAAGTTTTATCCTCCTTGCTTCGGGAATCTTCGCATAAGCAATGCATCCAAAAACTCTAAGATGGGCTACACTTGGCTTGAATGAACACCAAGCTTCCTCCGGGGTCTTGAAACGAACACTTTTGGTTGGACATCGATTCAACAAGTACATTGCACATGCTATAGCTTTGGCCCAAAATTCTCTAGGCAATCTTTTTCTTTTCAACATGCTTCTAGCCATATAAAGAATAGTCCTATTTTTCCTTTCTACAACTCCATTCAATTGAAGTTTGTAGGTTGGCGTGAATTGATGCACAATTCCATGTTCCTTGCAATAGTCTTCAAATAAATCAGAATTATATTCACCAC